TTTCAAGCCATTACTGTTGTAGCAAGTTTGATTACTCACTGGTTGAGGACCAAACCAACTACACATTTGTAACCTCATACAAAACTAATACTGCAAATTGTTAAAAAAAACAAAACATTAACATGAAAACTCGAATCCTGTTTTTAAATAGTCTTGTCAGATTGAGACTTTCATATGAATGTCATACATGACACCAAACCCATTTAGAAATATTAAAACTGTCAAATGTATACTACTGCTTTCTAAGATCAATGATTAACAATGGTTTTGGGTGAATGAAGCTTAAGGGTCTTGGCAAAGACTATGCTTCTTTGAATATTGTGGACTGGTGCTATAGAATCACTAACAACTGTACCAAATAACAGAAACCACATCACTTGAAGACTTAACAGCAACAAATAAATATTACATGTAATTCAAAGAGAAAATAATGATAAGATCAATATGCTGACATTCCGCACTACTTCAAATAAAAGGTTAATGCTAGCAGCATACTTGAATTCATGTAGTCAAATAGCTCATCAGAGCAGTTACCATGAAAATATTTGTAGAAAGGACAGAGGGAAGCCACATCATATCTGTGAGAAAGTGACTGGAGTCAAGATGCCAAGTCAGGACCGACTACATTGCCGATCCTTCTTTGGATTTTGTCGAGGACCTCAAGATGAACAGCTGGGGCACCATATATATATATATGGATGGATAGTAGATTTGCAGATGTGTCGGGTGGACTCAGATGAGAAAAAAAACTTCTGGCATGACAGAAAACCAACTTTCCTTGTAGTAGCTGCAGTTGATTGATTCAATGTAATTGTTCCACCTCAAGTCAGTGGAAAACAAGAGGTCAAGAAGGCTCTCACAGAGTCAAGCATCAACCATGCTGATAGAGAGCAGGAAAGTTTCTCTATGGTGGTTAAATGAGAGCAGTTTAGTTTTGGAGGCATTCAAATTTACAAGCCATTTCTTGCCCCAGTTAACCACTGATTGGAGGTCCTTTTCGATATCAATGGCTAGATTAGCTTTGTTGGCATTACCAGATTTACTATTGAGACAGGAGTAAATAATAGTCTTGTCTGCATGGATGCCTACTTTTGAGCTGATGACATCAGAAAGATTGTTGATGAAGATCAGAAACAGTGTAGGTCCCAGGATATAGCCTTGGAGAATACCCATGTTTGTATGAAAGGAACTGGAAGAGAGTCCATTCAAGATGACCTTCATTTCATGATTCGATAGGAATAATTGGATTAAATCAAATACCATACTGTAATACTGTAATACTATAGCCCTGAAGCTTATGTAGAAGGCCAGCATGCTAAACCCTGTGAAACACCTTTGAAATATCTAGAGCCACAGCTTGAGCTTTGCTGTTATTATCAAGAGCTTGGTATACATATTCAATTATAGCAATAAGCATGTCAGTGATAGACCAGGCGAAATGGAAACTATATTGTTTGTCAGAGTGTAGATCATGGGAAGTAAGATGCTTAACCACCTTGGCATTGATTAAAGCCTCAAAAACTTTGCAGAAGAGTGGTAGGAGATTGATAGGGTAAGAGTTAGACAGGTCATAAGGGTCTCCAGAGTTCTTAAAAACAGGGATGACAAAAGAGGACTTCCAACTGGCTGGAATGTGAGAATAAGTGAACCAATATTTGTATAGTTTGAAGAGAACTGAAGCTAGCTCAGGAGCACATTTCTTAAAGACTACAGCTGGTATCCAGTCATCTCCACTTGCCTTATGAGAATTTTAGAGATAATGTCCGAGACATATCACTCAGTAGAGACTCAGTTTTTTTATGGAAATCAAGTATGGGCACTCTGGATAAGCCGATGGTTGAGTTAGATGAGCATTTCCAAGCAAAGCATTTAGCCTTATCTGCTATGGATGTTAGGACTTTGAATTGATTGAATACAAGAGGGATTGTGGATTTGCTGTTGTTCAGAACACTCTTGCAGAGTGCAGAGCCAAGAATAGTCTCTAGAACTGAAGTTGGAAGATGTGTTGTTTCATTCTATCAACAAATAGTAACTTTGCTTCATTGAGAACATAAAAAAAAGAAAAAGAAAAAAAAAAAAAAAAAAAAAAAAAAAAAAAAAAACAAAAAAAAAACAAAACAAAACAAAAAAAAACAGGCTTCCAAAGGAGAAGCATATGAATTGGAGGAGGGATTATGGACAGAGAGTCTGAAACTTATGAAGTTTTTACTTAATATAAGTTCCAACATTCACTTTTTGTGGAAGGGGAATAACTCCTTCATTCGTGAAACATGCCAGAGAAGAATTCTTGTCTAAATAAATGTACAGGCCAAAAAGAAATAACCAATGAATTAATGTACAAGAAAGTTTGGAAATAAGAGAGAGTAAAATTAATTGAATTAAAAAATAAAAACGTATAAAAAATAAAACTTATACACATACTTTGGACAGAGAGAGGGAGAGAGAAAATAAGATAAATAAAAGAATAAGAAATTGAGAAAGGTGATTGTAATTACCTACATACATTCAAGAGTGGCGACAATTTTTTCAGGTCGCTACTTGAATGAACTAAAGCCCTTTTCATCATGTGATTGGTAGCAAGATCATTTCATTGACCAATTTGCAAGTGTAGTGAGTTCAATTCTTGCTGGGACTTGTGCCAATTACTAAGTGGCCTGCTCTGTATGTGAAATAATTACATCTTTTCCACTGATGCTGGAGCTTTGTGTTCAGGCCCGGATAAAAACTTTTGAAATCTGATTATTTAGGCACACCGGCTATTCCTGCTTGTAAGATGGATGTAACAATCTTTATATTCTCTTCATCTGACATAGTACAGTTTTAAGTTAAACTTAAGAAATATTGATGTGTCCCTTGCTGTGTGGTAGTGCTTAATTAGCTAGTCTTACATGACATTAGTATTGTAGTTAGTTTGGTCCTCATTATGTGCCAAACTCTTTTGGTCTTATGTCAGACTAAGATAAGCTGAGTAACTATTGATAGCATGGCAGCTTAACATAGGAAAAAAAAAAAAAGAAATTGATTTGGTATATTTTGCAACATGTTAACCTTTTTCAAATGAAATTGGACAACAAAGAGAGAATTCGGCAAATAAAAGAAAAACAAAATTTTCTGAATATTATACTTTTATGTGCCTTTAGGACGTATGTAATCATGGCTCTCCACAACTATCTTTTGTAGGTCTTAGTAATGTTTATGTTTTTACTATCTCTCAGACCTATTGTTCTGTTGTTCATTTGTGCAAACTTGTTAAGTAGGTTACTATTCTGAACATTAGAAAATGCTTATATTTTCTTACAAAGAAATTTATATACATTTATTTAACTGCAAAAAATGAAAACAAATATTATTACATTCTAATATTAGTAAAAAAGAAAGAAAATTGAAAATAAAATTTAATTGAAAATGGACAAATCAAATTTTGGTAACAGGTAAATTTAAGACTCACTATCTTGTACAATCAGCTAAACACTACTTTATTACCAAATAGAATCAGTAAAAGATGATTTTCCACTTCAGCTTCATTATGTAAAGATCTTTTATTTTAAGCTTTTAATTGGAAAATATAAATATAAATAGAACATTACAAATTATTTCAGTTAACTTAGAGCCATATATGACTATTTTGCCTTTGATATTTTTTTTAATAAACCTGTATTATTTTTGCTATTTTTATTTTCCAGAAATTCTGCTAAATCATAGTATGGACCTCACCAAGTCGCTTCTAAAGTGTATTTTAACATTTATTTCAATGCATTCAATATTCATAATTAGTAAATGAATGTTCTTTAGCTTTGTCTTTCCTTTCTTCTCCTCCAACTGTCTACTCTTTCACTGTGTTAGCTTTATACATAAACAATTTCAGAGATATCTGAAGTGATGCATCACAATTTTAAAATGCTAAATTTAGAAAAAATATATTGAAGATAAGGCAGTCAAAATGAAAAAAATAAAGAAATTATCAATGAAAGAAAAATGAGGTGCAATGAAAAAGCTAAGATTATGTTTTAGTCTGTCTGATTTGTAGATTTAAGACAAAATGAATGTCTACATTGTACATGACTTCCTTTTAATTTCAATTTAAAATAAAAGTCATTTTGACAAGTTTGTTATTATAAAATAGGCATGAGACTGATAACTTAAACTACTGAATTCATACACATATAGGAGTCAGCTGAATTTATTGAAAAAAAAAAAAAACAAAACAAAAAATCTTAGGATGCAACAGAGGAACAAGGAACATAATGTGAGAGAAGTCCACTTTAAACCAATTATAACCATAATGCTTAATGTTAAGCTATAATCATTTCATTATATACCACTGAATCTTACTGAATAAAGCAAAAATATATTTGATAATCTGTATATATGAATAGTTTTACATCTAAGTATATTAGATTTTCATGATCTTTTATTAAAAATACTACTGAACAATGACTGAACTTTTGAGCACAACAGCTTATATAGAAAGATTTCACAATATTATCACAAAAAACTCTTTGATAATAGCTTATGAAAGCCAAAAGTATTCAAACTTTGAACAATTTACATTCAAATTTTCACTGGAAACCAGGAAAATGGTCTAAAATTATATATATATATATATATATATATATATATATATATATAGTGTATTTGGGCAGTAATTGCTCTTTTATACAAGTTTCTTTAAAAAAAAAAGACATAAGGGACTGCAGTTAAGTATTTTATTTAATTTATGTCCAGAAAAGAAAAACTATGTAGAAATTGTTTGAATGTTCTGCATATGCGAACACTTTTGGCTATAGTTTTAGCCATTATCAAGGATGATTTTATTTATATTTTTATTAACTGGATGTATGGATTATGTGACAAGTCGTACTAATTAATCCATAGCCGAGGAGAAGAGGTACATTCATATCTTTCCCAAAGAGTATCTGTACATAAATAAATATAATGAACCCAAATGGAATTAGAACTTGGCTCACTGATTTCTAATTTCTAACAGTTATCCATCCAAGCTTACAGCACCTGTTATTCCCTAAAGATCACCCATTTAGGTACTGAACAGGCTCTATGTTGCTTAACTTCAGTGATTATACGAGAACCAGAACCAATCACCAGACATGCACATAATTTTGCATATGATGAATTATGACACTATGGTTTTCCAAAACGATTAGATCTGGACATCCCCATAGAAGTAGATGGTAAATAATTATTTCTAAGTCTGAAGTGTCTAGTGCTTTTTCAGTAATAAATTTTATGAGGTAAGAACTTCAAAGTATCACCCACTTGACCAAAATGGAAAATAGATAAATAAAATAAAAACTTTCAGTGCTACGTGGTTGAAAGTTAGAAACCTTCAGGCTTATATAAACAGTCACAGTTCTCATGCATATCTATTAGCAGTGTACAGTTTTTTTTTCTGTCAGGAGAGTTTGGGAGTTGCAAGCTGCATATCATAATGATGAGATGATGAGTAGGAGAGTCAATTCTTACTAGCCTAAAGGATAATCTTGTTTGTTAGTCAGTCATGACAGAAGTAGCAGAAATGTCCCAAATGTCACTTACCTACTCCGTAGCAATTCACCCCATGAATTTCATTTATTGCCATGACAATATTTTCACCTCTTACTTCTTTGTGAATGTCTTTCTCAGTTTTGGGCATACTGATGCAGAAGAGATGGGAATCAAAAAACACAATATGGAATGATTTGTTTGGTTGGTGAAAAGAACAAGAGAAGAAAAAAACCTGTTTTTTTAATATCATTTCACCCTAAGCAAGGCAATAAAGCTACTAAAATGCAAGGGGCTACTGAGTGTTAAAGAATATGATAGAAAAGCACTATTAAGGAATAAAAGAACAAGAATTAAGGCAGAAGGTAACAATTGGCATTGCATTTAAATCTTTGAAGATCCTGTGATATATTTTTCCTGGCTTCTTGCAACAGTTGATGCAATACAGCCAGATTTGTAAGTGAGCTATAACAATAAATCAAGAATTGTTCCATTGTTACCCATATGTATTCAGTTGAGGTCAGGCTTGGTAATGAGGCTCACCAGGGAAGATGTTAAATCTTGCACAACATAATGAATAACATTAATGTTGGTGTCCATAGCTACAAAAGCTCTATTTTCAATACTGAGCATTCCCACCCCATAAATATAGAAAATTTTCTCAATTATATATGTGTTTATATATAGCTGTATACATATATCTGGGATGTGTAAGCTACTTATGGGTTAGTGGCTTGGACTGAGAAATTGGCAAGTTGAGTTGAATTGGCTACATTCATTTTCATGCAAATACTCTTGGGAAAAGTATGAATTCATCTTTTCTCCCCCACAACTATGGGTTAAATAGTAGACTGGGCTCTTCAGCATTGGTTAGAAACCAGCATTGAAGGGAAACTGAATGCCCAATCCTGGATAGGTGTAACTCATTAGCATGGACATGGAAAATGGATAAAAAAATATTTGTGCATTTCTTAAATATATGGACATAATTAAAAGCACTTTGACAATATGAGTAAAAGATAGAGTCTATAATTAATGTATGTGAGCTATGACATACAAAAGCACAATAGGAAAATGAACAAAATCACTTGAAAGAATTTAGAAATGCACCAATATCTAATATTGATGATAGAGATAATTCTAAGAGATAGAAAGTGGTCAACATGGGTAAACGAAGAGGTCAAGATAAGAGATACAGAAATAACTAAAATAGAGGTGAATTAGTACAAGGAGGAAGAATAACAGATGGAGCAAAAGATTGGTTGAATTATGCCCACTGGATCACAAATATAGTAGGAAAAAATAGAAGACAGATTAGATAAATGATTTTGCCAGTAATATATAGCAGATAATAACACAATTGTGGCCATCATGAGAGGAATTGGTAATGACTTTTGTCCAACAGTGCACTATATGTTGACAATATGTGTATAAAATAGGATATAACACAGACATATATATATATATATATATATATATATATATATATATATATATAATGAGAGAGAAAAATAGAGGTAGGAAGACAAACAATTAATTATACTTAATTTTGTTTTCATTTTCTGTCAGTATTGAACCCTGGCTCTTGAATCTCTATTTTATTGTAGCAAAAGCTTTTGCCACAAAACCTATCCCAGTTTTGTTTTTGCTTGTTTACCAGTGACCATCAAGCAACAGGATGTGAGCAATTTACTCCACTTTGTAAATATTTTTGTCCAGCTGGAAAATTAAGTTCTTCATACTTGGATCAGGAATCCAAATACAAGTTTGGGAGAGAGAGAGAGAGAAAGAGAGACAACTTCTATATCCCTGTATATGCTGTGAATGGGAAAGAAAGAAATAAGACTAAAAATAGTGAGTAAATTATTGTGTTTCTGTGTCTATGACAGTGACAGAGGGAAGTGGGGAAGGAGAAAGACTGAACAGAAAAAAATTAAGTGTTAATATGACCTGTTGAATGATTTGAAATCCTGCTCTTGAAATCCTGTCTTCACTTATCCTTCTAATCTTCTTGCAGCAAAAGTGTAAAAATATTTAAGCTCATCTGTCAAGTACTCACACATGAGCTTCTCTTCTGCACTTTGAAGGTTGGAAAATACACCGATTTGAATCAAAAGATTAAGATAAAACATACAAAGAAAGCTCAACAAGGATATGAATTACAAGTGCCACATTAAAAAACACTTAGAAATATTAAGTGAAGAGCATCTGATGAGAAAATGCATGCTTCAAATGCATTGATTATCAGAATGATGATTAAATACCACAAAATAAAAATATTCACATTGGAAGTTAAGTGTTGGGGGTGCTAAGTCAGAGCACAAGTGGTAAAGAATCTATATATTTTTTTTTTATCTGATCTTATAAAAATCAATATTTTTAGACCTGTTATTCTATTGAAAACAATTTTATTTTTGTTTTGATTTTCAAATCATTTTTTGCAGCTCATTTGTACTTATTTTGTAAAATGAGACCTGTAGACTTTTTTCTATATATAAGAATTATATAGATGTTTTAGAATCTAGTGTTCAGTTTAAAATTCCTTAAAGGTTACCCAGATTGACAGGCACTTGAAAAATTGTGATAACAACAATGATGACGAGGATATTGGTTCAAATGTAAATAACCTAAATAATGACAACTCCTCATCCCAGAAATTAAAAATAATCATTCATTTTTATCAGTATTTCCTTTTTTATCACAGTTACTCAGGCTATCATTCTACAGTTGTTCATAAACAGTAAGAATTAGAAATAAAATATAAGCTCTTGGTGTTTCTCCAAGCCGTATATATTGTGTATAGTAAATGTGGTTTTCCAGAAGAATGCTGAGAATACTATTGATCTTTAAGGCAAATGGAAACAAAATGCACACTTAGAATCAGAAAGATGTCGTTGAAATTTCCAGAATTTTCCAAAATAAAGAAAGAGGGCTTGGAAAATTTGACACTCACAGGACATATTGAAGGTAAAAGAGATAGAGGAAGGCAGCAGGACACCTACTTGATGAGTTTATGTGAATGAATGGGAGGGATGGTAAAAGATAAACATTACTAAGATATACAAAAGTTGTGGAGTGCCATGATTGCTCAGATCCTGAAGGGACATGGCATATAGAAGAAGAAATCTAAGAGTTCAAGTCTTTGCTGTCCTTACAAATTACAAAGTCAAGAGTTAAAGTTTTCAGAAAATAAAATCACATCTTGATTTTCATCATATAAATTAAAAGTGAAATTTTATTGAGATAATTGAAATAATTCAGGATTATTTTCATGGTAGAAATGCATGCCAACACTTGGAATTACAAGCAAAGTTACAATGTTCTTTTTTCAGTATAATACTCTGATATAAAGACCAACTTCTAGTAAATTGTGAGGCATTATGTTTTGTTTCAGAAGTTTTGTCATTGTATCACAAGGTGAATAAATCCTTATTGATTCAAGAATCTTTACCCCATTATTTCTTATTATATTTGTATTACAGAGCTTTTGTTTTTTTAATCATTTCACCACAAAGACAGACAACAAAACCCCTAAGATTTAAGGGGTTACTTTGAGTGAGAAAAAAAGACAATAAAAAATGATTCAATGAGACAAATGATGATGATTGACACTGCATTTAAATTTTTGTAGATGTATTTGTAGATAGGAAAGCAGAAAGCCAGAAAAAGAGTTCCACAAACAAGAAATGTGAGAGATGAAACAATTAGCATATAAATTATGGTTACAACTAGCCATTTTAACACTGAAATTATGACACCTAGTTGCTAATATAGTACTGTGATTCAATTCAGGGAGGATCAAGGTTCCAAAGGGTAAAGCTCATCAGAACAATTACCATGGAAATATTTAAAAAAAAAAAAAAATGCAAAGAGAAGCTACATTATAACAGTGGAAAAGTGACTGAAGCCAAGATGTCAGTTCAGGATTGATAATGTTGCTGACTCTGCTTTGGATTTTATCAAAGATGTGGCTGCAATATTTTATACATAGTTGGATGAATTGTAGACTTATAATGCTATAATATTGTTCCTGTTTCATACTTCTGTGTATATTGAACTTTTACCACTCTTATTCAGTAAGTAACTTTAAACTTAACTGGTGACTGAATTAGTACAAGAGCTTCTATATAGGATATGTTATGTATCAAGTTAATGTTGTAACATGCTGGATAACCATGAGTAAAAGTGAATGCTGAGACAATTGTATTGTGTATCAACTCATGGTAGAACTAACAGACTGCTCATAGCCACAGACACTATGCTTTATTGAAATGTATTTGGTCTCTATGAATAGTTACAAGGGAATTAACTCTGTATTTATTAATACATTACACAATAGATACATGAAGCCAGCTGTAGAGCATGTGTAACAAATGATTTAGAAGAATCCGTATCATAAATTCAGTTCATTAGTAAGTTATTGAACTGGTTTATCAATTCAGAAATTTGTTAATCTTTTGTGAGGAGTGATGCTTCCATTTAAAGAGATTATTTTCACTATTGCTTAATAATTCTAACTTACAATGTGTAGCAATTAATAGTACAGAGTTTAATTTTACAACTTGGTTCTTCAATGAACAATTCTGAGCCATTGTTCATTACACCACCCACACATCCAAGCTTACAGCACCTGGTATTCCTGAGTGGTCACCCATCTAGGTACTGACCAACCTCAACATTGCTTAACTTTGGTGATTGCATGAGAACCAGGGTTTCAATGTAATGTAGTTGTAAGCCTTCATCTAATTTAAGAATTGATATGGACAGGTTTGGAAAGTGTGGCAAAATATTATTTGCTTCATGGGTTAAATTTTTCTTCAATCCCTGAAGTGTACACATAGAATACTCAGAATGTCCTGCAGCATCTTTTTTTAACATATGCTATGAATTCTTAAAGTCATCTGCTGAAGAACTTAGAAATGTAAAAGTCATCTATCCATTAGACAATAAATATTCCAAAACTTTTTCTTACTAAAGGAATAGATTTTTATATAGATATTTCATTGATAATTAGTACCAAAGATATTTGTCATTTTTATAGAAATAAGATGACAAACACATGAAGCCTAAATTAAATTTATAATTAACTCTTTTATTGTTCTCTTCTTAATAGTGTTTTTTTTTTCATATTTTCTAACACCCAGTAACCCCTTGCATCTTAGTGGCTTTATTGCCTTGCTTAGGGTGAAATGATTAAAAAAAAAAAAAAAAAAAAAAAAAACAGAAAAAGAACTTTTTGCAAGTATAGAATTACAGATCTCCAAAGATAATTTTTTTCCATTTTTTTTTTTTTTTACATATATTAAAATCAATTAAGCACTCCAGACCATAAATAAATAAAAAATTATTTTTTAAATTGTAAAAGGGAGGTTCAATTTGCTATCCAAACTGATCGTTCTATGCTAAATAAGTAAGTAAAAATATGCTTTAAATTTACAATTCACAGCTGTTTTGAAATTCTTTGAAATATTATATGTAAGCATTAACACAAGACACAAAAAAATTTAGAATCTCACTAAATTACTCAATATCTCCCTCAAATAGATTTCTCTAATAATTCTAATAGACATGCTTCTTTATTTCTTACCTCCTCCCTGGATTCATGTGGTGCCACACAACTGTCTTCTTGGCAACTTACATGCTTTAAATAATACAAATGTTAACTTTTTTTAACTTTGAAATATTTTAAGGTTGGTAAGAATATAATTTATCATGTAGTATGACTGATTGATTTTTTTTATGGTTTATCAACCTTTTACAGGTAATTTAAAGTCAGAAAATACTTTGAGATTTAAGAATTTTTTGAGATAATAATGATCTACTGATACAAGTCCTACTAATTAATCCATAGTTGAGGAGAAGTAGTAGTTTCATACCTTCCCCAATTATATTTGTATATAAGTAAATATAATGAACCTGACTGAAATTGGAACTCAGCTCTTTGACTTCCAGTTCTGAGCCATTGTCCATTACAGCACCCACATATCCAAGCTGGTGTTCTCACGTGGTGACCCATCTGGTACTGACCAGGCTCAACATTGCTTAACTATAGTGATCATACAAGAACTGGATCATGTAGCATTAGCATTTTTTTTGGCTTATGTAGGGGGGGGGTCAACTTATGAATTTACACAGCAAACTGAATCCCTTCTTATAATTTTGGAAATTCAGAAAAGAAACATTTTTTTGTTATTTGTTATCTGGAGTGCTTAATTGCTAAAGAAAAAGAAAAAAAAAGATGATTATTTATTAGAGTTGTGTGTTTTTGTAAAAACACCATTTTGTTTTTTTTTTAATTTGACCTCAGCTGACATCATATAGTCTACAAGTCTGTATTTAACTGTGATGCCCATAATCTTTTCAGTAGCTGTATAGTATATGCCTTTCTAGGGCTACACCCCAGTGTCCCAAGGTAGGTCAGTTCTCTGCTACCTAGAGAATTATTTCTATACTGAAGTTTAAATAAAGATATAAACATATACTGAACAGAAGATGGAAAGGATTACTCCTGGTTTAATTAGAACATAAGCTGGTTTTGAATTGAGAGTTATCCTTCTAGACTGGTTACCATCTATGGCTCTTCTAGCCATAGATGGTAACCAGTCTAGTCTGTTCTTCCATTTAACCTATGGTTAGGGGAAGAAGAAATGTATTAATACTGTTTCCAAGAGTATTGTACAAAAGGGAATGTAATGATCTTGACTGGAATTTGAACTTGGCCCACTGATTTTTCCTTCTGTTAAGATTAGTCTCACATTAATAAAGACAGCAGTTGTCTCACAGATTGCAATAATAAAGCTTGACAAGTTAAAATGTTCTGTGTCAAATTAATATAAAATCATTGAATGAAAGATTAAGATTTTGGTAAAATGTTAAAAAATTTGAATCATTGCAAAAAAATTCCAGTTCTGACATTTATTTTTGATGCTATTCCTTGCCCCTTCTATCACTTTAGATTTGTGTAATAAGTATTATTCATCCTGATATTCATCAAACAACAAGCCTAATTATTTTCTTAGTAGTCAGATATATTTGGCCAAAAGTCAAAGTTACAAAGTTAAGCTAAAAAACTTAACTGCAGTCAAGTTTTCTATTTACTTATCTGTGGATGCGAGTTTGATACCTGAAACTAAATTGAATTCCTTCTGGGATAGTTGGTAAGTGAGTTGCCAGTAGTAATTATAAAATGAAAAAAAGTTGTTGTTTTATACTTGAACATGTTTTTAGATGCAATATCAGTATTTTAAGGTGCATTTGAAATGATGCAAATAAAATAAGCATATAAAATTACAAAACTGATTATTTACTGCAGACGTTTTCAATCATACCAAAGTTTTCACTATGAGAGGAATTTTAAGTTTTCAATAGGGACTAGAGATTGGCAAACTCAAATTGTTGGAGTATTGATTTAGTAAGGTTTTAATATACACATTTATTGAAAAGTGATGAATAAACAAGATTTGTAAAATGCAACAACATTTTTATATGCAGAAGTTTCATGGTAAAGTTTTATATTTTTGCTCTTAATAAAGTCTGCAAGTTTGAAATGTATGTGTGTGTATATAAGTGGACACTGATGTCAACACTAAGCAGTGACAGTCCACCTCATGATGGAACACAATCTTCAGAATAGGTTTGGCTCAACTATTAATATATGCTGGTGAATGGTATATTATGGGTAGTAAGTTCTATTGTATATTATTATAGAAGCTATTGAGTAGAAATAATTGTGGATTTGAAAGTGGTTATTGGTAGCTATTTCATAATTTTGTGATAACTTTTTACCCACTGAATATAACATACCAAAAAAATTATATTTTCACACACATATTTTTATTATAAGAGATTATAATAAAAACATTTTGAAATCACTACACAAAAGCTTTTTTATGTTTTCAATACTATGATTATAATCTCTTATAATAAAAAATATAATATATTGCTCTACTTTGTACTGAGCACTTTTTTAATAGTAAATACTACAAACAGTGGATTTTTACACCAACTGTTCTTTCACTCATTTGGATATATATATGTGTGTGTGTGTGTGCACGCACACATCTAATTTTTTTTTTTTTTGTTATTTTAAGGGAAAAAGCAATTTTTGTGAAGAGGAAGGACTAAAATATGACTGAATAAGAAGTTACCTATTCTTTTGGTGAATAACTAAAAACCCAATGAGTTGATTTATATGGCTATGCAGTAGAAAATGTCTTGACAGACAGGCAATAAATATATTTTATTTTGAATATATTTCATGTGGACATAGTTATACCACATGACTTGTCATATAAAAGTGATTTTAACATACATATTAGTTGAAAGGTATTAAAATTTACATAATCTAATTATTATAGATGTTAGAAAAATTACATTTTGCATGATAATAATTTGATACAAATTATAAATGATACATAACTTTTTTTTATCTAAATTATAAGCTCCATAAATTCTACTTTAAGCTGATTTCTTCTTAGTTGGAATATCATGTTTCATTAATAATATTTAATAAAAGTAGGTTTTACTTTTTTTGAAGTCAGTCAAATTTATAAAAAAAAAAAAAAAAAAATGTGCAGTACCAATTCATGGTTTTCCTATTTTAATTTTCTGATGAATCATAATTCTTAATTCAATGTCTGAATAAGCTCTCTGCAAAGTCCATGACATGGAAATTCAACTATTGCATCATTAAATATTTCAGCTTAACAGTGTTAACTAAATATTGTAATAATGATCATACAAAGTACGAATACAGGTTATTATTTAAAGTAACAGGGTGTAAATAAAAAGATTCAAAATTGACAATTTTCCATTTCACTGAAGCAGACATAAAATGCATGAAAATTTTATTAGCTCTTCTTTATTTTTTCTTTATTTCATTTCTTTTCTTTTCTTTCCTTCTCTATCCTAAAAACAAACATCTGATATATCTATTCCTTCTATCTTTCCTCACAATCAAAATGGAATAGTTCATTATTTACCCAAGGTAATAGCATGGCATAACATACATACTAACTAATGATGGAACAAGCAGTATCATAATATGATGTTTATTGATGTGTGTTATAATTTAAGAGTATAAATTTTTTTTCAAATTTGAACTTATATAGATTTCTCTATGATGCACATGTAATAATCAGTACTGTTTTCAGTTGAAATTTATAAATTATTTCTCTTAAAACAGTTTTTTATGAAAACAACTTTCTCAAGTTCAGTACCTGTTATCACATTTTCTGTCTTAACCATTTATTTGAACTGGTGTGGAATATTATTAACATTTTCATTATGTTATTATTTCCTCTTCTAATCTTATGTGCTATCAATTTTAGTTGGTAGTCTTCAGGTTATGTGGTTTCCATTATTTGGTACAGTTCTTTGTTTGTGATTCTATATCACCAGTCTACAATGTTCAAAGAAGGATGACCTTTGCCAAGACCCCTCAAGCTTGACTTGCTAAAATCCTTTTTTCACCATTGATCTTAGGATGTGGTTATATAGTCTAGACATTTCTGACCGAGTTTGGTGTCATGCATGAAACCCATATGGAAATCTTGATCTGATAAGGCTATTAAAGATCATGACTCGTTTTCAGATTGATGTTTTGGTTTCATAACAATTTGCAATGTTGGATGAAGTTACCTCTGGCACAGCCTATTCTATGTTTAAATTCTTTTTCTCCTATATTTAATTTGTTATAACTGATGCATATGCTGAGGTAT